TTTCCCTTCTTTTTTGCCAGGCAAGGTCAGCCAGTGTACCCAATCACGACAGGGGGTTTCCGCCACCCTTACCCAACAGCTCTGACCGTCAATGCTTCCATGTCAAGGTGAGTTCAAATGCTGAGGTCCTGAATCGAGAACAAATGTAACTCCTTCTGCTGCCCTCTCTAGAGGAGGGCATTTAATCTAGAAAGCACTTCAGTTAAACAGTCATCCTTAGTTTTCCAATGGGGTGGAGGAGGAGAAGACAAGGGGTACTTTCCCAGTTGAGAAGAGAGTGTCCTAGTGCTGTCATTGGGCTTTAAGAATTTGTTTTTGAGGGAGAGGTGGAGGAGCGGGAAGTTGTCTTTAAAGGCCAAACTAAATGAAAAAGCTGGGAGAATGTGATGTTGAAAAAGCAAGGAGGAGGACTTGCAATACCTTTTGCTTTCTTGGTGGCCATCACCCAGAGCAGGGCTCTGTGTGTGAGAGGGGAGTCTCAGGAGGGAGGAGGGCTGCTCTTCAGGCAGACTTGGGAGGAAGGTTATTGCGCTATGTTTTCCCCTACCAAAGCTCCAAACACTGATAGTCAACATAAAAGGGCCTGCCTGACCCTCTAAAGCTTTAGAAGTATATATTTCTCCCCCTCCCTACCTCCAATTAATTCCATCTAATTTTCCAGGGGCTGCTAGTTTTATTTACAAACTGGTTGGCAGCACTATGTTTAAGTAATCACTAATTGCTCCTAATGATAGTTTTATTTTCTGTTCATCTGATTTTCAGTCTGGTTAATTAAATCGGTGGAGGTTTAGACTTTCCTGATGGGCTGAAACAGCTAATCCATTTTGATGATGGCACATAATTAAATTAGCATGCATTACATAGCAAGGTTCCACGTCTCTTCCCTGCTCTGTCCCTTCCTCTCCATCCCTGCAGTTTAATATGTGAGGGTTGGTGTATAAAGGATTTAAGGAGGAAAAGACTGGCGGGGGAGGAACACACCTCATTGAGAAATGGAAACCTGTAACTAGAGCTCATGAGTGAATGGGTAGGGAATAGTGTGTTGTGTGCTTTAGATAACTAGAGTAAAGGCAAAAAAAATAAAATTTGCCCATGTTGCTCCAGCAAATAGAGATACAACTGGAAAATCAACTTAAAAACAAAATAAATTAATAGACCCAGCATGGGGAAGAAAAAATCCTGGGTTGGGGACAGAGCTGCAAATTTCAGCAATGGTTCCCTCCCTCCATTTAATCTTTTTTAATATCTATAAAAGACTTGCAGGCATGGTGTGAGGCAAAGTAGAGCTTGATTTAGTTTAATTATTATTAGAGAGGCTAGTCATTTGAGGGAGGGGGGAGAAGTGGGAGGGGGGAGGCTATATTCCCAAGATAGGCTTTATGAAAGGTATCTAGTTAAAAAGAGTACACAGCAAATTAAATACATTATTGTGGTAATGGGACGACAGAAGTAGAGGTCTATTATACTTATGGCAGTTATAGGAAATGTAGGCTCCTTGCCCTGTTCTAGCACATCCTTTGATATTCATTCCATTCAGCAGCAGGGCCAGGACTTCTCAGAATTAAGTGATGGGTCATTATACTTTAAACACCATGGAGAAGCCTAGATTGGCAATTAAACAGCACTTGCTGACACTCGCTTGTGCCACCCTGTGACCCCCTTTAGATTGAGTTGTTGGAGCTCGGGGCCCTCAGCCTGCTAAATTGGTAGCAGGCACTTCTCCTGACGAGGGCTGGCTCTGAAATCTGCCGGCTTCAAAGGGAGCAAGATCATGTATAAACCATAATGTGGGTGCACCGTGGCTCAAAAAATAAGGCAGGAATAGATGAAATGTTACAAGTGCAAGGGGAAAATGAGAGAATAATGACAAATCTAATGCAACTCAAAGCAGAATTGTTGCACAGAAAAATGCATCCCACTGCTTGTGCATAAAATCAAGGCAGGCAGATGACATCCAGTTAACAGAAACATGTCAACAGTGAAGTAAAGTGAGAGTGAGTAAGAGAGAAGCCCCTGAGACAGCCAGGAACAAAAAATTAGTTGTCCTTAACAAGTTAAGACTCATCATTATATTCTGGCTTGGAGCCATAAAAGGAGACAGTGGTGTATAATGAGCTGCTTAGAATTTTTAGGGTGTTTATTGCAATTCATGGAATACTTGTCTGGAGAAAAGAGTACGGGGGGATGTCTTAGGCAAAGGTGAGGGGTGTGCATATACGCACACAGCCTTTCTTTTTGTCTCTGACATAAGCCTGAACACGCGCACATGCTCAGGCGCACACGCAGGGCGATGAATAGATTTAAGATGTTTATCCTTTGTTTCAGCCCAGAAACTTCTCTCCTGGTTTCCCGTACATGGGAACACCCTCTGGGCAGACCGTGCTCTTGATACGTGGTTTGGAGCATGTTTTCTCATGCCCGCCGTATCAGCTGGAGCACCTGAGCTCAGCCGTGGGACAGCCCTTGCGCTGAGTAGCCAGCATAGTTGGGAGATGGGGCTGGCGTGCCCAGGGCTGCCCACGCTTGCCAGCAGACATGCCGTTCGTGGCTGGCCTCTGGGCAAGAGCCCCGCAGAGCCCTGGTACAAACCTTAGGGTCGCTGTGTTGGCTCTGCCCAAATGTTGAAGCCAGGGCAGATCCCAACCTCACCTCTCCGTCCACGGTTTTCCAGAGCCTTCCTTTAAAAGTAGTTCCTGTCTTTGCCTGCATTCCGTTATAGACCTTTGGAGCATATAATGCTTCCCAACCCCGAATATTCCCTAAGCTTGGTAATTACAGTTCATTAGTTAGAGCGCGCTTATGAATAGTTTATAAAAGGTTAATGGGTGACTAATAGTGATTTTCATAAATGGTTTAGACTATTAAGGTAGTGTCTTCAGGTTGTTTTAACCATTTGCAACTCTCTTCTCCGCTTGTAGCATCGCCCCACTCACTTTGTATGCATGCAACATGCTTATAACATCTCTTGATCCTTCATTACCCCTCTATAATATGTCCTTAATGTAAATTGAGACCGGGTTAACTGACTGATGGGCCAACAGTGGACCCACTATGAAAAACCAACTGCTGTGAGAGGAAGTCAGGAAATAATCTGGCAGAATTACACCAGACAAACGCTGCACAGCAGTTAAGTGGTGGCAGTGGAAAATACCTTCTGTAATTGAAATTTCAGGGGAAATTCACTTTTGCTGAATGTAATTACTGAAGTTGGAGTGTGGCCAGGAACTTAAAAATTAACACTCTTCCCCCACTCTTATTGCCGTGTGAGTGGATGTCTACGTGGAAATAAGGAGGCACTCAGGCTTTGGGCTGAACCCTCACCCAGCCCACTGAAGTCCGTGGGATTGTGAGAGCAACTTTGGGTTCTGGAGCATGTTTTTATAGCCCCCAGCAAAGGCAGGGGTGTGTAAGTCCAATCAGCAGCCTTGTGTCTTGGAGGGAGAGAGATTCAGTGTGAAATAAATGCATGGTCATTGGTAATGAACACACAACTTCCTTGGGGAAACTGCCACCCCGAAAATAACTACTCAGCTGCAGCTGCCTGTTGATCAAGGCTGCTGTCTCTGAAGTTTAGAGCTTAGTGGGTAAAATCTCAGCCCATCTGAAGTCAGTGGAGGCTTCACCATCCTCCAGGCTTTCACACAACATGCGTACATAGGCTTCTTCTCTGCTGCTCTTCCTCCCCATCTGGTCACTCTCCAATGTGCAAATACTTACTCTCTTTCTTCTGAATGGTAATTGGGAAAACATTTTCCCCATAACTGGGGCGGAAGTTACATTTTTTGCAGATTTTCTTCACCCTCCTCAATTTTTTATTAGCTGGAGGTACTTAAATCTTCATAAAAACTAAGCGAATAAAATAACCCCCTATCTTTTGTTGAATTTATTTCCTTTGAACATCCTGGCTGTACAACAATCCACCATGTAGGCAGAGTTCATTTTGCAGGGTTTTAATTTTTGACCAGATCCTCATTTGAGAAGCAAGCCTATGATCCAGCGATCATGGCCACAACATGGGGTCCTCTTCAGAAGCTTAACAAGCACCATCTTTTGGCCCTGTTAACTCTGGCTGTAATCAGTCTCTTGTGATATTTGGGAGTCCTTCTGCAGTGATGAGTCTGCTCTTACTCAGGTCCACTCTCATACCCTTCTGTCCTTGTGCTACCACTGCACTCAGCTCTTCGTCCTTGCTGGTCTATGCCCACTGCCCTTCCCACTGGGTCCTCATGGCAAACAAGCGCAGCTCTTCCTGCCTGCTCTCTGAAGGTAGGCTTTTCATCTCCATCTTCATCCCTCATTGCCCCATTGTCACTGGCTCTTGTTCCAGTTGAACCCTAGCTGGCCCCAGCAGCATAGTCCTCTCTTGAACGCTGGGTCTTGCCTAGGACAGACAGTCATTCGGTAGGATGTGTGTCAACTTTTTATCACTATGCTTATACCACTTTCAGTGAGGTCAGGATTTTGCCCCAGGTTTTATTTTTGCCCGTGTTTATAAGTTGTTTTTTTTTTTTTTTTTAAAAAAAGCTCTTACTGTCAGTTTTCATTGTTTGCATTGTACTATGGCTGAAGGCCCCAGGCACTGTGTGAACAAACTAAGTATGTCCAATCAAAATACCTACCCAGGAAAATAAAGAGAGGGAGAACAGAAAAAAAAACTGATACAAAGGCCCAGTTTGTGCCTTGCTGATGGTGAGGCAATTCTGTGGCAGAATTGGGACCAGGATGTTGGTCTCCTTGCAGTGTCGCCATTGTCTTCTGTTCTGACCTACCATGCACCAAAGCATTCCCCCAAATGTGCATTTCTCTCCCAGCTACATTTGTCAGAGTGTGGGGAAGGCATTTTGACAATCCACTTGGAGATTCGTGTCCGCAAGTCTTTAGCAGAAGTAGGAATGGCCATTTTCTGCCCGTTCTCTCCCCGTGCCACCACACCCCCCTCCTTCCCTTCTCTCCATGCCTTTGTTTGTGAGGAGCTGCAATTCTCTACGGTTTGAACAGTTTCACATTCTCCCTGTCAGTCCCTGCTGTTCCCACCACCGCCTTCAAAGACAAAATACTTCTGTCCAATGATCCTCAGTACTACCAGCTGGTAGACAAATATCCTCAGAGCTCATAGTGGACGGTACCTCTTGTTAATGAAAGTTCTACTGTGTCTTCTTGTGAATGTAGGGAATATCTAGGCAGTTTTGAGAAGGGGGGGGCAGTTAAGCTCAGCATTGAAATTCATAATAGGGGGGGAAAAGAAGAAGAAATCCCATTATATTTCTGATACTTGTATACAGTCTACTTATCCATGGTGTATCACCCCATTTTAAATCCTGTTTGATAGAAAAAAAAATACTGTATATTGATGATAGAAGAAATAATTCTTTATCCCACTGCATGTTCCATGTTCTTGAGGTATTTTATTTGGACCAAGATGGTTCAAAATCTGAGATGAGAGTAGGGATTGCAATGATAAAAAACCCTGTCGTTTGCCAGATCACTTTAGCTTTGGAATTTTGGAGGAAGTTATTTCTGAGCCAAAATTTTAGGCTAGATCCCATTCCCTGGATACCTGTTGACTTCAGTGAGGGTTTTCTAAGGGAAAGGCAGTCAATCATGGTGTGCTTTCCTTATTCCCTGCAAAACCTTTCTGAGATTGTTGAGTAATAATGATAAGTCAATCCTGCTTTCGAGAAGTTTGTTCATATCGGTTAAAAAGTAAAAAGTCTGAATGATTGTGCCATGTTCGTGCTGTGGCCCCAGCCGAGCAACTAGATTCATGCAGAAGGATTGCACATCCCTCTGAATCCAGTTGCAGGACTGGGGCCTGTCCATGTATACGACCATAAATCATAAAGCTGACAACATTTTTTCTCTTTAGAAAGACTAGACTGTTATTTTGCATGAATTTAAGCCTTTCTAGGTTACCTTAATGGGTCAAAATTGACTTAATTCCACAATCTTCCCACTTTCCGTTAAAGCAATGTGGCTCAGAGATTTATTAGACACAAATAAATATTTTCTTTTGCTCCATCAACAAAATGTAGCTAATGAGGCATCTATAAGGATTATCAAAAATGCATCTAGATTGTGTTGGCATTAATATTTTATTTTGCTGTCAATATGCAACAAAAGATGTCATCCCAAATTCACAACATGATTCAGAACTATAAAAATTGATTCCTTGGTTGCCACAGATAACTTCTCAGCAAAGAAATGGACTGGTGGATTTTCTTGCAGGTAGCTGAAATTCCACTTTCATCCAAGTTCATCCAGTTGAATTTGCCTTTTGTTAAAGATGTTAAAAATTGTGATGTCTCATGTCAGTAATGATAATGAAGGGGAAGATTGGCTTTAATGACATTAGAAGAGTCATTATGTTTAATTTATTGCTAATTAATGCTGCCAGCTTTCATATGCTTTGTCTAGCTGTCATGTGCTTGTTATATGCCTTTTTTTTTTTTTTTTTTTTAATGTGTGTACACATCCCTCCCCATTCATTCATTTTTATTCTGACGATTTACACAGCTTTCTCTCCTCTAGGTTTCCTCCACACATGGTCCCGCCACACCATAGTTTACATACAACTGGAATCCCTCATCCGGCCATAGTCACACCAACAGTCAAACAGGAATCTTCCCAGAGTGATGTCGGCTCACTCCACAGCTCGTAAGTTGTTGCTTCCCGCGTCTTATTATTAGAACACCCAAAGCATCACCTGTGCATGTGTGGCTTTAAAACAGGCTTGGGTTTGTAGGAAAGGTTTTGCTGTAAGATTTTTTTTTTTAATTGTTTTTTCTCTTCTGTTCTAATTTATTTGAACATGGTTTAACTACCAAAGTGTGTTAAAATAATGGTAACAGTCCTTCAGAGTAATTCTGTGACATAGACAAGTAGTTATTAATTTCACCCATTTTAACAAAGGAGTGGAATTTTCTCAATCAAGATTCAAGCTTCTTGACCGGTTTCCCTGTTACTCAGTGCCTAGCCTGAAGCCGTGAGATACCGAATACACAACAGGAGACAATAAATTAGAGCATAGATGGCTTGTTCAAAGCTGCAGAGAGAGCTGGTATCAAGTTCAGGTTTGAACTGAGGAGAGCCCTGGTCTACCTCTGTCCCTAGTGCTTCTTGCCTTTCATTTCACGAGTGAAGCAGAAAGGCAGCATCTCAGTCCCCACTGATGATGGGGTATAACCTTCTGGTCCTCTTTCTAGAGACTTAATTTCTGAAGATTAATGCTAGAGGGATTGAGGGGATTAATTTAATAAATTCACAATAGTTCTCACTGGGAGGTTTATGTCTGTTGTATCTTTACCCTTCAGAAAACATCAGGACTCCAAAAAAGAAGAAGAGAAAAAGAAGCCACACATAAAGAAACCTCTTAATGCATTTATGTTGTATATGAAGGAAATGAGAGCAAAAGTTGTAGCAGAATGCACATTGAAAGAGAGCGCAGCCATCAACCAAATCCTCGGTCGAAGGGTAGGTAGCAAGGGGGAAGCGCAAGCAGGGACTGAAGCTTGGTAGGATTCACACTGCTTGCAGAGAAAGGGAGTTGCATCCTTCTGAATCGCTGTGTTTTCCTGTTCTTTTGGTAATGTATAGGCAAGTAACTTAACCAAAGGCCTTCTTTTGGTTTTTGTTTTTGCAAATGCTTTTTGTCAGTGGGGTCATTCACAAGGAAGAGGGGGGAGTGTTAATAGCAGTGTTATTTCTGGAGATGGAAAAATCTCAAATTTCTTGTTTTGTCCTAGAAACAGGCAGAAGAGTGAACGGGGAAGGAAAAAGCCTGTGGGAAGTACAGTAGCAGTATCAGCACCTGTGAGAGCCAGGAGAGGAGAGGGGGTGCCAGTGGGGAAGGGAGGGGGAGACCTCCTGTAAATCTGTAATTGAGATCTGGCTCATGGCAAGTGGTTCAGCTCCTGGACCCTCTCCCCTGCTCTTTGTTTTTGTTTAGTTTTCTTAATTCTCCTCTCTCATCAGGAGACAAAAGGGCTGAGTGAACATAAATTAGAAGTTGTGACTCAGTTGAGTTTACTGGAGTTATAATCTGAAGTTGTAAATAAAATATGAATGGCAGCGTGCCAGATCATCTGGTTTTATCTCTTTTTTTATTAAAATCAACTCTCGCTGTGTTTATATATAAATAATATACTCTGCTGTTAACTCACTTAAAAAAAAAAACCCACAAACACTTGTGCTTTTTATTTTGTCTCTTTCTCTTTTCTTCACCTCAGTGGCACGCGTTATCCAGAGAAGAACAAGCGAAATACTATGAACTAGCAAGAAAGGAACGACAGCTTCATATGCAGCTGTACCCGGGCTGGTCCGCACGGGATAACTATGTAGGTTCCTATGTAGGTGGAAATTTTTTTAGTAGTAGAGCTTGTAG